TCAAGCTTCCTGATCTGCCAGTAGTATGAACTGGGACCATCATCCGCATGGTCACAAAATGGCTTCTGTGCCCTCAGGCATCTCATCTTTATTCCAGGAAGAAAGAAATGGGACAGGAGAAGGGATAAAGACAAAATGTACACCGAAAGGCACAGATAAGTCCACTCACCTTTCACAAGCTTTCTTGGAAGCCCCACCCAGCATCTTTGGTTTATATTTCATTGGCCAGAACTATGTCGCATGGCCAGCCGTAGCTACTAGAGAGACTGGAAAGCTACCTATTTTAAGCTGAACATGGTGTCATCTGCACAGGAACTGCAGCTCTATTAGCAGGAAAGACGGGGCGAATGGGTGCTGGTTGAGAATCCAGCAGAACCTGCCACACCTCCCTGGAACTTACACACTGGGCTCCAGTTTCTGCTTTGAGGGACAGTCTTGCCCCCTGCTGATCAATCCCCCCTCTCTCAGCACCTCTGGGGAGACTTCTTACCCATCAGAGACCACCAGCCCAGCAATGCCTTCTGCTCCCATCAGCACAGGCTCCTCCAGATGTGCCTACTGTCAGGCAGGCACCAGGGCACCAGTGGCAGGCCTCCCCACACCTTCCCAAGACCTGACAGGGCCACAGGGGATGCTGGTGGCTGGTGAGAGGCAAGGGAGGGAACCTCAGTTCTCACGGGAATATCTGTGAGAGCGTGCCCTCCCTCACTCAGCCAAATGGGCCAATTTGTGTAAAAGTACTTTGTAAATTGCAAGGAGTAAGAATGACTGAGAGGTTGGGAGGAGGATGAAAGGAAGAGTCTGTTTGGGGGAACTGAAGGCTGAGCCCTGACTCCCCAGGATTGGGAAATAGCCAGAGTAAGGCTCCACCCCCTCCAGAGAGGTCCAAGGCCAGACGCAGGTCCTGTGGCTGCCAAGGCCGCACAGGCTGGCCAGCGGCCCAGAGCTCCCAGCCTCCAGCCCTTCCTCGGTCTGCTCTGCCCCTGCACCCCCAAAGGACGAGAACCACCCAGGACTACATTTAACTCTAAAAAATCATTCTGTTTTCAGATGGCTTGGGACCAAAGCCATGTCATTTGCTGTAGTCTCTGCATACGGGAGCTGGGCCAGCAGGACTCCTGGGACACTGCAGGGTCTCCCAGAGAGACTGCAGAGCTTGTCACCAGCAGTGCAGCATCACTGTGGCTGCCCAGTGCCTCCAGCTCCCTCCGCCCCCTTCCCTTGCTCTGAGCCGTTCCCCATGGTGTGTGAGAGCAGAGCTGAGCAGGGCGAGCCTCCGCAACGACCCAGGCCTCGGCTGCAGTGTCTGGGGCTGATAAGCATTCAGCCAGGGGAGACGCACCTGCTCAGGGAGTGAGGGGGTCACTTGTACCTTCCACACCCATATCCTGCCTTGGGGAACAGAGTCTCGGCTCTGCCGCTGAAGGACCCTGGGCCTCAGTTTCTCTAAAAGCACCATATAGCTCTAGCTTCCATTCTTCAAGGTGGGATATTACAGTGTCTAAGGTTTACAGTTTTAGTATTAAGCAATCATCAAGTGATATAGAATTGAGCCTGTACTACATCTAATAAGCATCTTCTATATTGAGCCTCTTCTGTATTCCAAACCTCATGCCAGGTGTCCATGTATTTTCTTATTTAATCTTCGTAGCATCTCTGTGGATGTACTGCTATTACTCCTATTTTACAGATGAGGAAACTGAGGCTCTGATAATGATTAGGATTAAATTTGGTGGCCAATGACAAGGAACTCCAAGTAACTGTGTCTTAAGCAAGATAGCTTCCAAGATGGCTGGAAGTTGTATATTTATTTCTCTAACATGCAGAAGTCTAGAGGTAATTGTGTGCAGTGGTTCTAAAGCTCTGCAGCATCAGGGTTCCAGGTTCCTCCTGTCCTGTCACTTTATCCTCCATTCTCAATGTTGCCTCACTGTCCCAGAGGACTACACCTTCTCTTTAAAGATCTTCCCAGAAGTTGCCTGCACGTCTTCTGCTTACAATTCATTGGCCAGAACTTAGTCATGTGGCCAATCTAGCTGCAAGGGAAGCTGGGAAATGGAGTATTCATTTTGGATGGTTCTATGCCCATCTAAAAATTGGCATTTTATTTCAATAAAGTCAGTTATGGGTAGTTAAGAGCATGGACTTCCCATACACTCTTATCCCCATCACTTACCAATGTGTGACCTTGGGTAGTTGATTCATCCATTTATTTAACAACTATTCATTGAGCATCTATTCTGCCCCAGGCACTGTTCTAGGAGCTAGGGATACAGTAGTCAACAACAAAAAAGTGCTTGCCCTTGTGGAACTCGTATTCTAGTGGAAGGAAATACATGAGCTAATAAGCAAAACATAATCTATTAGGTAGTATTCAGTGCTGGGAGAAAAATAAAGCAAGGAAAGGGACAGGAAGTGAAGATTTATGCAGGTGCTGGGTAGGTCCCTAGTGAGAAGCTGGCATTTGAATAAAGGACCCAAAGGGTCTCTGGGTGAGAGTGTTGCAGGGAGGGGGACCCGCTGTGCAAAGGCCCTGCGGCAGGAGCACACCTGGCTCAATGGAGGAGCACTAAGGAGGCAGAGCGAGGGCAGGGCAGACTCAGGGTCAGGACCCAGGCTCTGCTCTGGGTGTGATGGGGGCTGTGAGAAGAGGGTGCTCGGGGAGGAATGATGGAAGATTAACACATCACTCTGGCTGCTGAGCTGAGAATAGACTGAAGGGGGCAGAGTGAGAGGAGGGACACTCTGTAGGAGGCCGGTGGTATGGCTGGGCCGGGGTGGAGGCCGTGCATAGGAAGCGATCGCTTTGGGTTTACCGTCTTTTAAAGGGGGTGCTGAGAGGATTTGACTGTGGGATATGAGGGAAGGAAACGGTCGAGGATGACTTCAAGTGTGTTGGCCTGAGTGACAGAAGGATAGAGTTACTTGTTCACCAAGAAGGGGACAGCTGAGAGTGAAGCTGGTTTGGGGGCGCGGGGTGGGAAGGTGAGTATCGGGAGTTTGGATATGTTGAGTGTGAAGGACCTGTTAGACCTCCAAGTGGGGACAACAGAAGGCAGGTGGCTATGCGAGCCTGGAGGCCAGGGAGAAGCCCGAGCTGGAGATAGAAATTTGGGATTCCTCAGCATACAGATAACGTGCGAAGGCAAGAAGCTGAAATGAGACTGAGGAGGTCAGTATGGTTCCTTGATCTCTGCGTGCCTCAGTTTCCTCATCTGTGTTATGAGGATTAAATGCGGTGGAATATAAAGCACCTCGACCGTGCCTAGCACATCAGTGTGTCTGCTGGGTGATAATGACGTGACTTGCTCGAGTTTACTGCATTTGCTGCAGGACACCCACTGTGTCTACAGAGAGGAACGTGGTGGGCATCGCCGAGAAGCCCACTCTGTGACTGAGAGACAGGGCAGCCCAAGGCCACAGAGAGGAGAGCACAGCCCATGCCGGGTGCCCAGGGCCCGCACTAGAAGCTATGGGAGCTCCAGGAGGGAGCCACCCCGGCTGACTTCTGCGAGAGAAGGGAGGGCGAGCTCAGGGCGAGCGGGAGCACTGCCTGAGCCTTGGGAAAGGAGGGCATGCGGGGCCCGGAGGTGGGAGTGCACAGGGACCCTTGAGAAGACCTGCAGTGGCTCTGGAAGGATGAAAGACGCCCTTCCAAGGTGGCTCTGTGGGACACAGAGTCACGTGGACCCTGGCTGGCCAACATTGAGTGGGCTTATGTAATGGCCATATTTTCTGGCTTAAAAAAGAGGACCCAAGGTCTGCCAAGGGTCAGGGCACTCCCCCAGATTGGGAACCAGGCATTGTCCTGGAATCAGGGACACCTGGGCTGTGGCTATAAGTTGAAGAATAAAGTAGGCTGGACACACTGAGAATCAGCCAGACCCACTGAAGTCTGAGAAGACACAGTGCCGCCCTGCTGCCACTGCCTCAGTGTCCTTGTGACTCCCCGCTGCCGCACCCTCTGCACACACCAGGGTCACGGCAGCAGTGTGGGCTGTTCGTGGTGGAAATGAAGACGAGCAGAGCCTCCCGTGATAGGGGTCCTGTCCCCTCTTCCCCCCTTTCTCTGACAGCCAGGTCTTGGCTGGGCTGAGAGAATGAGGCCTGCTCTTGCCCGTTTCCAGTCTCCACATTGGGAAAGGGGCTGGGGGTTGGAGGGAGAGTTACCTCTTGTTCCCTGATGCTTTGAGGGCACAGCCAGCACCCTTGTGCCCAGCCCCCTATACCCCAGGTGGCAGGGACCACTGTCCCCTCTTCGCTGAGGAAGTGGGGGCCCATGCCCAGGTGACACAGCTATGGCACATGGACAGGAGCAGGGACCAGGCCAGCTTCTGCTCCTCACGGCTGGCTCCTAGCCACCAGGAGACATCCCACCTTCTGAGTCTTGAGGTCAAGATTCCCATAGCCCATGCCCAGGTGACACAGCTATGGCACATGGACAGGAGCAGGGACCAGGCCAGCTTCTGCTCCTCATGGCTGGCTCCTAGCCACCAGGAGACATCCCACCTTCTGAGTCTTGAGGTCAAGATTCCCATATAACTGTGGGTGGTGTGGGGCTCAGGGGTCAGCCTGGCTGGGTTTGGATCCCTACCCTTCCACTTCCAAGCAGTGTGGACAAACTGTGTAACACCTCTGTGCCTCAGTTTCCTCCTCTTGGTAAAATAAGACTAATAAGAGATGATTGTGAAGATTCAATGACTTAAATGGCACAGCTCTCAGGTCTGAGCATGTCACAGGCGCTCAGTCAATGCTTGTCATCACTGTTTGTGACGTGTTATTCAGCACCGCGTTTGTCTGCAGCTGCCCTGCTGCTACAGCACCTGCCCCTCAGGCCTGCCCAGGTCTCCCCGAGTCCCGTTGGGCACTGCAGGGCCTCCCAGAGGCTGATGGGAGTCTGTGGGGTCCCTGCTGGGGCCGCGGGCCCCCTGGACTCTTCAAAGTCACTTCCTGTTCAGCCCCCAGCTCCCTTCAACAGAGGCCCTGCCTCCTCTTCACAGATTTTAATGAGAACGGTTTCATCGATGAGGAGGACCTGCAGAGGATCGTCCTACGACTGCTGAACAGTGACATCTCTGAGGACCTGCTGATGGACCTCACGAGCCACGTGTGTAACTGGGGGCTGGGGGTGCATCATCCCCCAGAGCCCCTAGATATCAGGCTACCCTCTTGGGAGGAGACTGCAGGGCCAGGCCTGAAGCAGATGGCACGTTGGCCTGTGGTACACACATTCCCCCCGGCCTGTGTGGCATTTCTCCCCCTCCCCCTGCACCCCCATCTCACTGTCTGACCCCAGGCCCCCCTCGGTCTCCTCCACACCTCCATGGCCAGGTCCTGAGTGAGTCAGATCTGGACAATGACAACATGCTGTCCTTCTCGGAGTTTGAACACGCGATGGCCAAGTCTCCAGATTTTGTGAAGTAAGGCATTTGGGAGAGGGAGGGGCTGCCAGAATAGTGGGGGGCAGGAAGGACCCCCCCAGTTCCCCTCTGCCATGGAGGCATCTCAGTCTTCCCAAGGACGCCATGAGCTTCCAGGCCACTTCTCAGATTCTTTCAGAGTCAGCAAAACTGAAGCTTCTGAGAAATTAGGTAACCCCGGGGTATTAAAAGGCGGAGGGGGAGATTAGAGTCAGGGCCTTGCAAAGAACAGAAGTGGTCCAACCTCAGGAGTGGGCCCCCCGACAGCCAGCACACCTGTAGGCTTCTGCCGAGGCCTGCTGGGACCCTGGGCTGCAGAGCCCTGCCTTCCACGGCTGATCCCGCGCCCTCCCCACAGCCTCCAGCAGCCACTGGGAGGTGGGGATCAGCACAGGGATGGGAAGATGTTCATGGAAGGAAAGAAACTCAACAAGAGAAGCAGCCAGTTCTACTCGGTCTTCTCTAGTCCAAACACCCTTGACTTGACTGGCCGCCTCCACATTTCCCTGGCCATGTTTAACAGTCTTTTTTGGATCTTTCCAGTTACAGGAAACACACTCCCTCTGGAGGCAGCCCAGGTCATAATTAAAGAGCCCTGTTAGAGCAGCCCTCCTTGTGTGGAGCTGGCATCTGTTGACATGTGTCTTCTGCTCCTGGGGCCTATTCTGTCCCTTGGTCTTTTAGTTCAGGTGACTTTGGTAGTCAGGAAGCATGCCCACTCAAGGCGGTTTAACAAACCAACCAAAAAAGAACAGAGTTTGATCTCAGAGAGCATCAGGGCAGGAGCTGGGGATAGTCAGTCTCTCTCTCTCTCTCTCTCCCCCCCCCCCCCCTCTCCCCCCCCGGCAGTGCCTTTGACTCTCTCCTCGCCTCCTTTGCACTTAGCTTTACGCTGCAAACCAGCAGTCTCTGCTTTGTCAGACATGAGGGTTAACATGGCCTTCCCGTGGCAGTCAAATTTATACCTCCTTGGTTTCGAATGGCTCCTAAGTCATGTCTCTCAGCTCTGACTCCAAACTGCCAGGGAGAGGATCTGATTGGCCCAGCTCAGACAGGTGCCCACCCCTCTGCCATCCACCCAGATGGGGGACAGGGCTCTACAGTCCAGCAGGGCTGCCAGAGGGCCGTGGCGTAAGTGGACCCTCTAAAAGAGGATAATTCCTCTTCTTCCGTCACAGCCCAGCCCATAATTGAAGCTAAAATTTGTCCTCCTTGAGTTTTTCTTTGAATCACTCCCATTTCTTTCCACTGTTTCCAGCACCTCAAGGTCCCGAGACCCTTTGCATTCTGGTGATGCTAAAAGAAACTTAGAGAAGGTTTTGGGTTGATTTGGGACAGCTGCCAACTGGCCATCGCCCAGAGAAAGGGGCATGAGAAGTGGGCCAGGGAAGGTGCTTCTAGGACTACTGTGAACCCAGAAGTCAGAGAGCCACTTAGAACTGCAGACTCCGGTGGCTCACTGAATTCTTTCTTTTAGCTCCTTTCGGATTCACTTCTGGGGATGCTGATGCAGCCACAAACACCTGACCAGGCAGCCTCGAAGGAGAGCACTGGAACCCAACTCCCTCCAGGCACTGGGGGATCTGATTTGAAGGGTGACTTTGTCCCTGTCCCTCCATCACCTCTAGAATATTGTTTATTACATAAAGCAAAAAAAAAAAAAAAATGCCTTCTCCTTGGCCCCTCAGTTCATCCCTTTTTGAATACAGGATCATATACAAGTACTTTTTATTAAGAACTACTCATTCCAGGGCTTGAGTTTGCTGACAACACCAAGCAAGCTGGGGTGGGCGATCTTTTTGAGGGCAGGATTCAAAATCCCCTGTCATAGCAGGGACCAGGCCCAATGGGATGAAGTTCACTAGGAAAAGATTTGTCCTTCCCTCCCTTCTCCAGAAGCCCCAACCCCAGCATCCCTCCCAGTATCTCCCAGTGCAGAGCTATGGAGACATGCACACGCCTGGCTCCAGCTTCCATGTCCTCGACCAAGGGACAAGACTTCTTGGCCCACTTGGCACCCCCAGGCCCTCAGGATGAGACAGTGTGTGACCAGCAATCAGGGTTTATTTGCTTTGCTGTTCAGCCAAGCCCTGGAATGAACTTGGCCATCACAGACACCCTTTGGGGCCCAGGTGGTCAGGGACTCTGGGACACTGGAGAAGCCCCTCCTGGGAGCCTCTGAGTGCCGTTGCATGCCCTCCTGACAGGCACAGGGTTCTCTTGTTTGCCCTGTGCTGGGGGCGGTGTCTAAGCGCTGGCCACAGGGGAATTGCTGTTTCAGCCTCAGGTGCACTCGGACCTTGCTGTGCTCCCTTGCCTTTAGGCCCTGACTCGCCCGCTCAGGGGCGACAGAGCCCTGTTGCTTGATAGAGTCCCTTAATCAAACCCAGGAGGTGCTGGAATGCTGGAGGGGTCCTGTGGTGTGGGTACACACCTGGCCTAGGTCCCCATCCCAGGTCCTGTCCACTGAGGGGCTGTCCCCATGTCCTGCCCCCTACCCTAGCAGGCAGGAGCCTCCCAGGAGGTGGGAAGCAGCAGCCTGGTGAGGGCAGACACTCCAGGTCTCCAATGCCACCCAGGCATATGGCCTGGGCACCCACTGCTAGTGCCCACTTCTAGCCTAGAGAGTCCTGAAAGAGATTCCTTGAAGAGTGGCTTAGTCTTGGGTCACTCCTTTCCATCCCTTTCTGGGAATGGCCACAGGGGTAGATGCCAAATCAGCCTGCCCGTGCCAGTCTGGGCAGAATGCAGGAAGTGGCTGCTTCCCACGGCTTCTCCCAGCCACCACCCCTTTGCTGGGTCCTTCAGGATCCCAAGGACTATGTCGTCCCTGCCCCTCAGTCTCCACATGGGCCACAAGAAGCACGTGTAGTGGAAAAACCAGGGCTAGGGAGTCAGAAAGACTTGGGTTCAAATCCTAGCTGTGTCACTTCCTAGCTGTGTGAGCTTGGGCAACTTTCTCAACTTCTCTGAGCCTCAATGTCCTTATCAATAAAGTGGGGATAACACCACCTTCCTCACAGTTACCTTGTAGACCAAATGATGCCGAGCCAGGGCTCCAAAAGGAATTCCTTTCCACTTCGCACCCAGTGCGACTGTTCTAGAGTCTCTTCACACTGATTCTCAGACATGGGGTAATTGGGCTTCCTCGATTATACCAGTGGAAGCAGAGGGGAGGTCTCTGTGCCTGAGTGACCTGCCACTAAGACCTGGGAATCCTACACTCCTCAGCTCACCTGCCCCGCCCTGGGGGAGACGGGGGGGAGGGCCACCGGGTAGCTGGACACTGCTTTTCCCAGCATGAATCCCTTGGGCTGAGCTTTCCACAGGCCCTAAGACTCTGAGGCCCTGAGGCTGTGTGACCTTTGGGGCTGCTTTCCTGCCATGACCAAATGACCCTGGGGCCCAGAGGAGAGGTGTGTGGGATGGTCACAGCTAAAGATTTTATTCCAAGAAGATTTTATTCCAACCTGGTCAGGGCTGGGGCTCTCAGACCTCAGCCCCCAGTCTCATGCTCTGAACTCAAAGTAGCAGTCTCTCCTCTGCCGCTCCTGTGGAGAGACCCTCTTCCCCGATGGGAATGTCTGGTAGGTCTTCAGGTTCTTGGGAGATGCTCTGAAAAGGTGCCACTTCTTCTCTGGGCTCAGAGGAGGCCTGGAGTGAGGATGGAGCCAGTGTTATTTAGTATGCCAGGGAGAGGGGGTGACAAATGCCAACCACAGACCCACCTTCCAGCCCTACTGATGCTGACAGCCACTCATCTGATAAGTCACCCTGGACTTAAGCTGACAATTACTTGTGTTTGTGTAATGATACAGTGGTTAAGAGTGAGGACGTGGGCCACAGGCAGACCTGAGATGGATTCTAACCCTAACTCTTGCTAAAAGTGTACACGTGCCGGGCTGGCCTGGTGGCGCACTCGGTAGAGGGCAGCGCTCCCGCCGAGGGTTCGGATCCCATATAGAGACCGGTCCGCTCACTGGTTGAGCACGGTGCGGGCGCAACACCGAGGGTTGCGATCCCGTTGCTGGTCCCTGGTACGGGCGCGACACTGAGGGTTGCGATCCCATTACCGGTCACGAAAAAAGACAAAAAGGAAAAAAAAGTGTACATGTGTATACATGGAGCAGTATTGGCATCTCCCTCTCAGTTTTATTTTGAGGAGTAAATGAGGTGATGCACATAGAGCACTTAAAATGCTGGAGAAGGAGTAAACACTCAACAAATGTTATAAGAAATGATGGTGCTGCTGCTGATGGTGATGATGGTAGTGGTGGCGGTGATGGTGGTGCTGGTGGTGATGGTGGTGTTGATGATGACAGTGATGATGATGGTGATGATGATGGTGATGATGATAGTGATGATGCTAGTGGTGATGGTGGTGATGATGGTGGTGATGGTGATGATGGTGATGGTGGTGCTGGTGGTGCTGGTGATAATGATGATAGTGATGATGATGATGGTGCTAGTGGTGATGGTGGTGATGATGGTGGTGATGGTGGTGCTGGTGATAATGATGATAGTGATGATGATGATGGTGATTGATAATGGTGATGATGGTGATGGTGATGATGATGGTGATGGTGATGATGATGGTGATGGTGATGATGGTGATGGTGATGATGGTGATTGATAATGGTGATGATGGTGATGATGGTGATGATGATGATAGTGATGATGATGATGGTGATTGGTGATAATGGTGATGATGGTGATGGTGATGATGGTGGTGATAATGGTGATGATGGTGATGATGATGGTGATGGTGATGATGGTGATGGTGATGATGGTGGTGATAATGGTGATGATGGTGATGATGATGGTGATGGTGATGATGATGGTGATGGTGATGATGATGGTGCTGATGATGATGGTGATGATGATGATGGTGATTGATAATGGTGATGATGGTGATGATGATGGTGATGATGGTGATGATGGTGATGGTGATGATGGTGATGGTGATGATGGTGATGGTGATGATGGTGATGGTGATGATGGTGATGGTGATGATGGTGATGGTGATGATGGTGATGGTGATGATGGTGATGGTGATGATGGTGATGGTGATGATGGTGATGGTGATGATGGTGATGGTGATGATGGTGATGGTGATGATGGTGATGGTGATGATGGTGATGGTGATGATGGTGATGGTGATGATGGTGATGGTGATGATGGTGATGGTGATGATGGTGATGGTGATGATGGTGATGGTGATGATGGTGATGGTGATGATGGTGATGGTGATGATGGTGATGGTGATGATGGTGATGGTGATGATGGTGATGGTGATGATGGTGATGGTGATGATGGTGATGGTGATGATGGTGATGGTGATGATGGTGATGGTGATGATGGTGATGGTGATGATGGTGATGGTGATGATGGTGATGGTGATGATGGTGATGGTGATGATGGTGATGGTGATGATGGTGATGGTGATGATGGTGATGGTGATGATGGTGATGGTGATGATGGTGATGGTGATGATGGTGATGGTGATGATGGTGATGGTGATGATGGTGATGGTGATGATGGTGATGGTGATGATGGTGATGTGGGGGCCATCTCCCCTAGTGTCCCTAGAGGAACTCCCAGAGTTCCTGGAGCCCCAGCTCAATTACTTAGCAGCTGGGTGTCCTCTCTGAGCCTCAGTTCCTCATCTGCCTAATGTGGGTAATGACACTCCCTACACCAGCTTTGCTACGGAGAGTATATGAGACAAGGGACCAGCTAAGATAAGGTCTGAACGCCCAGCCCAGCAGCTGTGCACACACCGCTATACACGCAAGCACAAAGCACACTTGGCATGGTTCTTGCCTCTCCTTCCCTCCTGGACTAGGCATGTTCTGTACAAGAGCTAAGATGGGGGATGGGCCTTTACAGGCTCACTGTGGTGGTCCCTCAGCTTTTGAGTCTGGTGGCCTTGGCCTCGTCCTCGCCCCAAGAAAGCTGCCTTACACAAGTTCTCTGCCCTGGGACTAGGAGGCACCTGTATCCTTGAACTCTGTCTGGGAGGGATGTTTGCAAGAGAGGGTGATGGAGAGAATAAGGTTTCTAGCAACATGGCAGAGAACAAGCCCTCATGCCACCAGGGGATAAGGGCCAGCTCGGGCCCCTGTGTACCTGTGGCCTGCTGGCACATGTCTGAGCCAGATCCAGGGGGAGACTTTAAGAGCCAGAGGAGCAGCGGGTTGTGGGTGGGTCCCCCTTCTTTCTCCTAGCTCCCCTGAGGGCAGTTTGGTCCAGTCTGGGGCTGGGGTTAACTCAGGGCACACATTCAGGGGACTAGGGGACAGGGAGGGGCCCGTGGGCACCAGGATCCAGATGGGTAAATACAGTAGGCTGGGCCCAGGGTAGGGGGCTTCCATGGGGCCTGTGCTCCTGCAATTCATCCTGTGGGTGAATCTTGGGCCCTTTACTCAGGGAGAAGGTAAGCAGGGGTCCACAGGGCCAAGAGACTGGGGGGCGGGGGCAGAAGGTGAGAGCAGGAATGTCCCAAAAGGCCCCCAGCTCCACTGGCAGTGGGTGTGAGCAGGGACAGGAGCCACCGTAGCTCTTGGGGGTGGGAGAGATCAGGGAAGCAGAGTCCTGAGCCCTCCCAACTCCCCCTGGCTAAACTCACCAGGTTTCCTGCTGGCCCAGCAGCTCCGGAGGGTGGGTGTGAGGCCTCCCCTGGCCTCAGCCATCACTCCCGCCTCAGGGCAGGGGGTGGTGGGTGGGGAGGGGAGGCAGCAGCCCCAAGCCGGTGGCTCACCTGGTAGAACTGCGTGAGCTGGGTGGATCGGTCGCTGTCCAGGTTGTAGCGGGTGTAGCTGGGCCTGTGCAGCCAGCGGTCCCAGGTGTGGGAGCGGCTCATGAGCACCAGGTTGGGGTTGGAGGAGAAGATGGTCGGGAAGTGACCGCCTTTGCTGAAGGGAGTGTGGCTCTTCTCCATGGCTGCATTGCGGTAGTCCTGGAAGTACTTGAGGGTGGTGGTGCCATAGGGGGAGCCAAAGGAGAAGGCCACACTGGGGACATGGCCTTGGTACCTGCAACAGCAGTGGGGGAGGGAGACACAGATCAATGAAGGGCACCAGGGCCGGGGCAGAACACCTGGCACCCCTTAGCCAGTCTGCAGGCGGATCGCTCTCCCTCGGTGGGCCTCCGTGTGCTCAGGGGTGGGCCTGAAGATGCAGAGGGCGTCCTCCAGCTCCAACATTCTGTGCTTATCTCACTGAAGAGTAGAGAGAATATGAGAAGTTAGAGGCCCCGGTCAATGAGAAGTGATGGGTGTTAGGTTTGCTAAGCNTGGTGATGGTGATGATGATGATGGTGATGATGATGGTGATGGTGATGATGGTGATGATGATGATAGTGATTGATAATGGTGATGATGGTGATGATGGTGATGATGATGATAGTGATGATGATGATGGTGATTGATAATGGTGATGATGGTGATGATGATGATGGTGATGATGGTGGTGATAATGGTGATGATGGTGATGATGATGGTGATGATGATGATGATGGTGATGATGGTGATGGTGATGATGGTGGTGATAATGGTGATGATGGTGATGATGATGGTGATGATGATGATGATGGTGATGATGGTGATGGTGATGATGATGGTGCTGATGATGATGGTGCTGATGATGATAGTGATGATGATGATGGTGATTGATAATGGTGATGATGGTGATGATGATGGTGATGATGGTGATGGTGGTGATGGTGGTGCTGATGATGACAGTGATAATGATGATGGTGATAATGATAGTGATGATGACAATGGTGATTGATACTGGTGATGATGGTGATGGTGATGGTGATGATGGTGATGATGATGATAGTGATGATGATGATGGTGATTGATAATGGTGATGATGGTGATGGTGGTGATGGTGATGAAACTCCAGAAGGAGAGGGACCTGCTCCAGGCCACAGAGCTGATCATTGATCCTCTTACTCCCAACCACCAGGATGACTCTTTGTGTTGAGCATGAAACCAGCAGCAGCAGCATAGGCTGCCAGGCAGTTTGGAGAAGGAACAGAGCTGGGGTGTCCCGGGCTCCCTGCGGCTACAAGAGGGGCTGATCGTAGCCAGAACGGTCTCAGAAGGCCCGCTCTGTCTCTGGGTGGACCGGCTCAGAGCTGCCCTAAGTGGTGGAGATAGCCAACCCAGAGTCCTAGAGCTGGCAGTGGAAGACATGGGCCCCTTTCCAAGCTCTGCCAGGCCACCCAGCACAAGCCCCCAGGCCATCACTGAGCCTCAGTTTCTCTGTTTATAAAATGGGCCCATGTATCCTGCAGCGAGCAACTTTTAGAAGCAGTGAAATCAGTTTCTTTAAAAACCATTAAACTTTATGGAAACGGTTGCTGCTGCATAGACGACGGTGATGGTGAGGCTTGGGGCTCCTAAGGCAGGGAAGAGGTCAGCATGGAGTTGGAAACCCAACCTCTGCCCACCGACCTCCTGATGCCCCTCCTAGACCAGCAGAGGGCGTCGCGAGGGTGGGAAAAGGAGCGCGCTGGGAGGCTCGTTGACCCCCAGGCCCAGGCTCCAGCCACCACCCTACCCCAGCTACGGGACACCTCACACAGACTTCTGGTCCCCCTGCCTGGGTGTCAGGAGGGAGAAAGCGCCGAAAGCGCAAGCCAGGATCATCTCGCAGGGCAGACGTGGCCTTCCGTGGGGAAAGGAGCTCTCCTGGATAAAAGTACGAGGGCGAGGAAGAATTTCATGTTTTGTTAGATGGACAGTTGGACTTTCAGGGTAAAGTCCCTAGGATAACATTTTCCAAGTCTGGACGGGACTGGAAGACTAATTCCTAGCTCGATGTAGTGCCCCTTTGCGTCCACCAGAGGGCAGCAGCTCCTTGCCGCGTTTGGACCGGTGTAGCTGCAAGGCTGCCATGCGGGGGCGGGGGCGGGGGAGTCTGCAGATTCAGGCCAGCAAAGATTATGGATTTTGCTCCCAACTCCGTGTGCATGTTGCCGAAGAAGCGCTCTTCCTGATTCCACCATTCAGACTCCTGGCATCCTTCCTGAGGCTTCTGAAGCCCTGACTCGCTTGCTGTGTAACTGTCCCTCTCTGCACTGCAGGCCCTTTGGGACATAGAGGATTAACTCATGTCTCTGGGTTCTTTGTATGCCTGGCCAAGAGCAGGTACCCTGTAGATGTGTGTCTGCTGACTGCATGGATGAAGGGAGGGCAGGCACTCACAAGTCGGTGGGGATGGGGTACCGTTCCCACTCCATCAGGGGCAGCACAAAGTAGGGGACCCGGGGCACCATGCCTGTCTTGTCTTGATAGTACTTCCGATGCTGCTGTGCCGTCTACAGCTCGACCAAGGAAGAGATAACAGGTTGTTAGTGTGCAGGGGTGGCCTCAGGCACCTGCAGTCCACACCTGGCTGTACCTGGGACAAGGTGGGGGCCATCTCCCCTAGTGTCCCTAGAGGAACTCCCAGAGTTCCTGGAGCCCCAGCTCAATTACTTAGCAGCTGGGTGTCCTCTCTGAGCCTCAGTTCCTCATCTGCCTAATGTGGGTAATGACACTCCCTACACCAGCTTTGCTACGGAGAGTATATGAGACAAGGGACCAGCTAAGATAAGGTCTGAACGCCCAGCCCAGCAGCTGTGCACACACCGCTATACACGCAAGCACAAAGCACACTTGGCATGGTTCTTGCCTCTCCTTCCCTCCTGGACTAGGCATGTTCTGTACAAGAGCTAAGATGGGGGATGGGCCTTTACAGGCTCACTGTGGTGGTCCCTCAGCTTTTGAGTCTGGTGGCCTTGGCCTCGTCCTCGCCCCAAGAAAGCTGCCTTACACAAGTTCTCTGCCCTGGGACTAGGAGGCACCTGTATCCTTGAACTCTGTCTGGGAGGGATGTTTGCAAGAGAGGGTGATGGAGAGAATAAGGTTTCTAGCAACATGGCAGAGAACAAGCCCTCATGCCACCAGGGGATAAGGGCCAGCTCGGGCCCCTGTGTACCTGTGGCCTGCTGGCACATGTCTGAGCCAGATCCAGGGGGAGACTTTAAGAGCCAGAGGAGCAGCGGGTTGTGGGTGGGTCCCCCTTCTTTCTCCTAGCTCCCCTGAGGGCAGTTTGGTCCAGTCTGGGGCTGGGGTTAACTCAGGGCACACATTCAGGGGACTAGGGGACAGGGAGGGGCCCGTGGGCACCAGGATCCAGATGGGTAAATACAGTAGGCTGGGCCCAGGGTAGGGGGCTTCCATGGGGCCTGTGCTCCTGCAATTCATCCTGTGGGTGAATCTTGGGCCCTTTACTCAGGGAGAAGGTAAGCAGGGGTCCACAGGGCCAAGAGACTGGGGGGCGGGGGCAGAAGGTGAGAGCAGGAATGTCCCAAAAGGCCCCCAGCTCCACTGGCAGTGGGTGTGAGCAGGGACAGGAGCCACCGTAGCTCCTGGGGGTGGGAGAGATCAGGGAAGCAGAGTCCTGAGCCCTCCCAACTCCCCCTGGCTAAACTCACCAGGTTTCCTGCTGGCCCAGCAGCTCCGGAGGGTGGGTGTGAGGCCTCCCCTGGCCTCAGCCATCACTCCCGCCTCAGGGCAGGGGGTGGTGGGTGGGGAGGGGAGGCAGCAGCCCCAAGCCGGTGGCTCACCTGGTAGAACTGCGTGAGCTGGGTGGATCGGTCGCTGTCCAGGTTGTAGCGGGTGTAGCTGGGCCTGTGCAGCCAGCGGTCCCAGGTGTGGGAGCGGCTCATGAGCACCAGGTTGGGGTTGGAGGAGAAGATGGTCGGGAAGTGACCGCCTTTGCTGAAGGGAGTGTGGCTCTTCTCCATGGCTGCATTGCGGTAGTCCTGGAAGTACTTGAGGGTGGTGGTGCCATAGGGGGAGCCAAAGGAGAAGGCCACACTGGGAACATGGCCTTGGTACCTGCAACAGCAGTGGGGGAGGGAGACACAGATCAATGAAGGGCACCAGGGCCGGGGCAGAACACCTGGCACCCCTTAGCCAGTCTGCAGGCGGATTGCTCTCCCTCGGTGGGCCTCCGTGTGCTCAGGGGTGGGCCTGAAGATGCAGAGGGCGTCCTCCAGCTCCAACATTCTGTGCTTATCTCACTGAAGAGTAGAGAGAATATGAGAAGTTAGAGGCCCCGGTCAATGAGATGTGATGGGTGTTAGGTTTGCTAAGCCGAGGCCTGGTTCAGAATACCTCAGCCTTGCTCCCAACACCAGGGCCTCACCAGGTGCTATCAGAGGGCCCAGAGACCTTGACCGAGGTTCTGGAGCTCCGAGAGCTTTATAAGGCACTCTACCACCCTTTGCGACCACGGAGGCCCAGTGAGAGTCACGGGAGATGGGCAAGCGCAGACCCTTGGTGACACAGGCGCTCTCAAGACCCTGGGTTAAGTGAGACTCACACCAGGAGCCAAAAATTTGTTTTGCAAAGCAAGGGGGCAGTTATGGCAAAGCAAGTGGGGAGTCGGCCACACCCAAGAGCACGGGCACCAGACTCGGCAAACGCCGAGAAGATCCGAGCTTCTGCATCAGCACAGCCCTAAGGCTCCCCAATTCACCCCTCACCCTCCCGCGTGTGACTTCTGCCGCATCATGCCCTTGAACTCGCACTTGATGGGGTCACACACCGACCTTCCTGCTGCCACTCCAGTGGGCACACTCTCTTGCTTGGCCCTCCTGCAGCATCGGGCCCTCTGCCCCCTCTTCCTGAAGCACTGCTCGTGGTTTTTATTATGCCGCTTGCTCATTTTCTTTCGGTTTTCACCTCGATCTCTGACCATTCCTTCTCGTCTCCGCACGATCCTCCTCTTCTGCCCTCTCTTAGGCGACAATATTCCTGGGGTCTGTGCTGGGTGATGCGTCCATGCCGTGGCCTTCACCATCATCCACATGTGGACCCCGGGCCCACACCTGCAGGCTGGGAGTTCGCTCCAAGCTTTAGGCTGCCTCATACAGTTGCACACTAGACATCCTCCTTGGATGTCCCCCAGGCATGATCTCCCACCCCCACTGTCCCCAACAGTTGGGACCCATCTTGGTGAAGAGTCCTCCCTTCCTGTTCACAACAAAAAGTCGGGCATCGATCTCCCCCACATCCCCTTGTCACCAGTCCTGTAGTGCCACCTGCACAACCCAAGCCCGGCCACATCACCTTTCACCCGGGCGTGGCCGGAGCATCCTCATTCTCCTGACTGCTCTCCCACCCCATCCCTCCAGCCACTTCCCACACTTCAACCGGCCTGGACTTTCTGAAGTCAGATCCTTAGCGTGGCATTCAAGGCCATCTGTGACCTGACCCTTGCCTACCTCTCCAGCCTCGTCAGCGACACTACACCCGTCCTGAGGAACCACTGCAGGTCCCTAGATGAAGCCGCTCGCTCTCGCTCTCTCTCTCTCTCCCCCTTGCTCTCCAGGTTCTTGCCCTGTGCCTTCTGCCAGCGGGATGCCAAGCCCCTCCACCCCGCCCCCTCCAGACCCTGCTGTTTGCCTCCCAAATACCAAATGGCCTTTTAAGACTTGCCCGGACATCCTTTCTTCTAAGAACTGCCCCTCCGCTGGGTCTGGGTGTCCCCTGTCCCTTTGCTCCCTGAAGCCCTGCACGAGCCATTGCACCGAGTGCTGCTATTGTCTCTCCTCCCCGAGACCAGGAGCTTCTCGAGAGCCGAGTGTGGTCATGCACTCCTTATCTTTGTGTCGCCGTTGTCAGTGCGGGGTCTGGCACACGGTATGAGTAGGAAATTAAAATTGCTTCGTAGACAAATGAACAGACGAGCGGATGACGTGCCTATAGCACCGATGATGCTTACGCTTGGACCCGCACACACACCCGAGGACCGGAGGCCGCGCTCGGGGACCTGCAGCCCATCTCTAAGGCCACCGTCCCCCACCCCCTTGCCTGGCGTCTCCCGTTCTCCCATTAGGGTGTCTGAGGCACACGTCCGAACATTCTCCTTCGGGAACCGGTCCTGACCGAGGCCGCCTGGGCCTCAGTCTCCCCGCCAGCAGAATGGGCGCTGGCCTAGAATTGGAAAGCGGCGCACGATTTCTTTCTTTGCAACTCCAGGAAAAAGGCAGGAAAGCTAAGCAGAGTGACTACTGACAGACCCTCCCGTGGCTTTCCACGGTCCTTCCCTGGTTCCTGATCCCGCCACCCTCAGCCGCTGTCCCTCGTGGCACCTGGCGCCCCCCGCTGCCCGGCCGGAGCGGCAAGAGAGGTGGCCACGGCGTGCGGCAGAGGGGAGGACCCCACCCGCTGCACGGGCCTTCTCCAGCCTCGCTGCTCGTGTCCTTTGACTTCCTGGACGTGGACTCTGGTGTTCCCCAGTGGGGGCCTTTCCATCCGCCTCGGTGCCCTTCCTGCTGGACCTCCCTGCCGATGGCCATGCCTCCTCCTGACCTGGAAAGACGTGGGGGGTGGTGAAGCCTTGT